CATTATAATCAGTAATTATGTCCCCACTGGATGCAAGAAATGCCTTGTTTGTAATGGGTTTTATTGGTTTTGTCTTGACGTGCCGGGAGACGGCGTCACAGTGTGTTAAGGGGAGTAACATTTCCGTCACACGCTTGAGGTATTCGGCCAATCACAACGCACTGGATAGCTGGCCAATCAGAGCACACCTCACTTTTCAGAACGATGAGCTTTGTAAAAATCGACGCGTTTCAGAAAGGCGGGGCATAGAGGAAAAACAATAATGTACAGTATGTGTAAAATAATGTTTTTTTAACCTTAAACCGCTTAAACACATTGCATTACACCAAATACACAACATAATGTTCTTTTTAGCAACATCATTTGCTAAACATTCTCCTTTAACATTTCAAGGAAAATGCTACAAAACGTCTTGCTCTGAAAAGAGCTGTTTTTGACAGGGTAAAACAGGTGTTTTTTACACTACCATTGAGAAATTTTAACCAAAGTATTTTACAGACTTTTCATTAAGACCCTAAAGAATCATAAAAACTTGTGGAAAATGGGCATCGGATGACCCCTTTAAAGTTTGTCTTTCCATCTCTGTGTCATTTGAAGCATTTTAATGTAATTTGCTGTTTCCTCCTTAGAAAATTTCACCCTCAGATTTTGGAATGAAACTTGTCCAATTTGGTCAGTCAGTAAGTGGTGCACCTGCTACGGCATCAAATAAGGCCTCCATCGCTGTTGGAAGTCAAAGGGGAGTGCTTGTTTTTGAGTGAGTAAAAAATATTGTTATATTGTTCAAAGTGGCAAACAATTTTTTTACTTTTTGCATATTATATTTCTGTGTACCTTCTGTTTCATTAATGGTTGGGGGAACCTTTTCTTTAGATGTTGTATAATGTTTATACTTTTTTTTTTTTACAGGACTATCCCTGTTATTGTTATCAAACCAGCTATAACAATTAATCCGAACATCATTCCTCTTGATCAACAGTTGAATGAAATATCCAGCATAAAGTACCACATATGCTTTAATGTGATTAATGAAAACCTTCAAAGTAAGTATTCTCTTTCAGTTCGGTGAGTATTTTTGATTCAAAACAATACTCATGATTATTTTAACCATATTCACTTTCTGTCATTTTAAGTTGAACTTCCTATTAAGTACCAAATTGTCTTGGATTCTGATGTAAACAAAAAGCGCCTCACTGTTGATGGCAGAGATCTTTTGGAAAACACTTTCACCTTGACACCAGACGTAGGGTGTACACCTTTTATCAACCTGAAATATTTGGTACGTTGGTTCTGTTTCGTTCTTTTTTTTCCTACCCCACTTGTCAAGTTTTTAAGAAAATAAAACATGTTTCAATTGGAACAGACACTCAGCCTAAACCTAGTACTACTACTACAAATTGTAAGAAAAATTTACAGTATTCATTTAAAAGTGAATGATTTATTATAAAAATCATTTTACAGCTATGACTCTTTCTTTATGATGTTGACTGAGAAGAACTGTGTCTTCCTTTCAGGGCTGTTTTGACTGTTTTTCACCTATTAAAATCAAGCTGAATTTTTCATTGGATCAAAAAAAAGAAGCCCCTATACGAATTCTTGATGCATTTACTCTAACAGAGGTTGTACAGGAGGTAAAATATTTTTAAGCATATTCATAACATAAAGATTTCTCAAGCACTTGTAAACATTCAGTCATCTTTCACCATTTGCTCACTACTGTTCAAAAATTTGGGGTCGGTAAGATTTTTAAGATGTTTTAAAAGCAGTGTTTTGTGCTCATCAAGGCTGCATTTATTTGATCAAAAATACAGTAAAAACACTAATATTTGTAAATAAAATTTCTATTTAAAATAACTGTTTTCTCTTTGAATTTATTTTAAAAATATAATTTATTCCTGTGATGTACAGATGAATTTTCTGCATCATTGCTCCAGTCTTCAGTGTCACATGATCCTTTAGAAATTATTCTAATATGCCGATTTGTGGAAACCATGATGCTTTTTTTTCAGAATTCTTTATAAAAGTATTTTTTATAAATTTAATGCATCCTTGCTGAATAAAAGTTTCTTTTTTTAAATCTTATCCATCATCTAGTCATTATCTATTTTGTGAAATGTTTAATTAAATTACTTTCAATTTCTGTAATAACATTTAAAATGATCATATCATAAAATTATCTTTTTTTTTTTTTAGATTTCCTTTGAAAAAGAATGCAAGGCTACAGATTGTAAACCAAGTATTACATTATCTGATTCAAAAATTAGGTATGTACTGATGAAATGTACTCCATTTCAATTTTAAAAGGGACCTATGGGGGCTTTGGCTACATCTATTTAAAAGAAATGTCTGTTTTTTTGTAACTAAAAAATTTATATTTCAGTGAAACTTTGATCATAATCGGAGAAACTCAAAGCTTGAATATCAATATCAATCTTACAAACACTGAAGACCCTTCCTATATGACCGCCCTGACTTTGACCTTCCCCAGCATACTCAGTCAGAGGGTAAAAAACATGACCTTATCTTCAAAGGCTAATTATATCTGCTGTTGATACATTTAGTAGATACATGACAACCTGGGTGTCTCACTTACAGAAAATAGAAGGTGCCACCTGTCCTGTGAAGAATGACAATCAAATACAGTGTAATCTTCAACACCCTATTTTCAAAAGAGACGCACAGGTATGAATCGGTCACACATCTTTGAAACGTTAGAATTCTGATCTCATTTGCACCTGATTTTTTTCAGTAATGAAAAGTAGGAATGTCCTGAGGCAATCTCAAGGATCAAGCATTTTTTTAACTGATCAGTATCGCCTCTCCTCAGTCCAATCCATTAGGCAGTCGTGGCCTAATGGTTAGAGAGTTGGACTTATAACCCAAAGGTCACTGGTTTGAGTCTCAGCAGGGATTGGAGGTGGGGAGAGTGAATGCACAGTGTTCTCTTCCACCCTCAGTACCATGACTGAGGTGAGACCCTTGAGCAAGGCACCCCCAAATGCTCTGGGTGTGTGTGTGTGTGTGTTTGTGTTCACTACTCACTGCTGTGTGTGCACTTGGATGGGTTAAATGCAGAGCACAAATTCCGACTATGGGACACCATACTTGGCCACACTTCATTTTCACTTATTTTACGTCAGCTGTCATTGGTGTTGTGCAGTAGGAGGCGATATACGTCTTTAAGTGGGTTTGCCAACTGCCATTAAAAAGAAAAGAAGATGCTCAAAGATGTGTTTGTATGGAAGCCCGTTTCCGCCACTGAACAAAAAAATATAATTCTGTAAGTCATAATAATGAGAAACTTTCTCAAAATTATGACTTAGTATCACGTTATATTGAGAAACTTTCTCGTAATAATGACTTAGTTTCTCGTAATAATGATTTAGCCTAATCCAAAAAAAGAAAAAAGAAAAAGACTTACTCGACGCATGCGCAACGCAAGAGGGACAGCACGCTAGCGACGTCTGTTGGTCAAAGCCATGCAGGAACACCGCAAACATTGCTTTGTTCTGTAATCTGAAGTGTATAATGCTATAGTCTAAGAGTGACAGCATGCTAGCGACATCTGTTGGTCAAAGCCATGCAGGAACACGGCAAACATTGCTTTGTTCTGTAATCTAAAGTGTATATTCTATCATTAAATAACGATTTCAGATAGATTATCTGTATGTAGTCTTTTGTTAATTTGTAGCACTTACCAACAAGTTACTCTGCCAGACAATGATCATGGCTTCAGATATAGAAGAATATATTCCAACAAAAATCACACGCATTTTATGAAGAAATGAAAGCCATTACACATATAAACTTAAGCCCAGTCACTGAAGAGGGATGAATTGTTGAACAAAAAGACAGAAACTGAATGCAGGGTCCTAATAACAAGTTACATTTTGTCACAACATATTGTAAAGAAGTGACACAAAACAGATTATTCAAAGGAACTGGAATATTTTACAAGTTGATGAGACTCTAAGGGAATTTTTTAAAGAATCCCCTAGCTTTGCTTTTAAACGTGCCCCAACAATAAAGGACAAATTGGTGAGGAGTTTTCTTCCAGCCTCAAGACGGGAAACATGGCTAAGATGACCAAAAGGGAATTTTAGCTGTGGTAATTGTAATTATTGCATACATATGGTCCGGACACAAGAAATAAGAAGAAATTTGAGATCACAGATTTTATTAATTGTAACTCAACACGTGTAATTTACAGATTGGAATGTCCGTGTAATTGTTTTTATGTGGGCCTCACTAAGAGGAGGTTATGTGACAGATTGGCTGAACATAGATATGCAATACGGACTGGTAACATTAATTATACGATGGCGAAACATTTTATACAGGCCAAGCATGGTAGTGATAGTAACTTGAAGGCCATTGGAATTGAACATGTGACATTAAATATCAGAGGTGGAGATCGACTTAGACAGTTGAAACAGCGAAAATACATACATTGAATGCTCTCTCATATGCTGGTCTTAATGAAGATATTGATTTTTCTCCATTCCTGTAATTGTCAGATTTGTCGGTGGTTTTTCTTTTCTTTTTCTTTTTATTTGCACAATTGTGATATATGTATCCTTATATAGGTTTGTAAAAAATATACTTCTGTATATATATATATTTTTTTTT